TGTTATCAAATCGATATTTGTAAAACTTAGCAGACTTTTTCACATTCATCGGTATGAAAAATACAATATATTGAGGACTTTTACTACTCATTAACACTGCAAGCATATAGCCTCAAAGAACAGCAAATTCATTCGTATGACACCTTATAAAACAAGCTGATTTTTATAATTAGCTCTAAATATTCATTCTTCTTTTTCAATTGCCTGAGAAATGGTTTTCTCTCCTTCAATTAAGTATGTTAAATTGAAACAGCAAATGTTCCCTAAGTAAAGTATGTTTTATAGAAAGCTTGTTTCCTCCTTCTTTTCTGTAAGTGTAGTGATCAATATGATTGGTTCCTGAACATTCCTTTCATTTGAAAGGATTGAAATAAGTAAACTGGCATCCCCTTCCCTTCCAAGTGTAGGGCATGGAATCGATAAATTTCTGGCCAATGAGATGTAAGGGAAGGTTCTATAAAAGTTTTTCTTGTTTCTAAGGAAGACACATAAATAAACAATGACCTTTTCCCCTTTTATATTTCTTTGTCTCTGTGTGAACCTTTAATGATGTATCAATCTTGTAACCAACCTAAGAATTATGCTAACACTAAATGACAAAAAGATCCAGGAAGAACTGAGTCCCTGCTAGCAGTCATCTGAACTCTAGACTTCATTTTTATTCTGTAATATAATAAATTTATGTAATCTATATATTTAGCCTTTTATTGCATTAGTTATTTTGAGATGGGGTTTTTGTTTTATCCATGCCTGAGCCTGCCTGGAATATAATTTTCCTATTTTACACTCCTGCAGAAAATGAAATGTCTTGTGTGCATGCCACCAGGCTCAGCTTCCTCCAAGGAAAGAGTTTTGCTAACTGTTTTTGTTGTTGATGATGTTCTTTGTTGGCCATTTTCATTTCAGCACCCATGTAGTTGGGAGGGCAGGTGTGTGGCATTTGCCCAACCATAGCTTGAGAAAAGATCACTTGAACTTTTATTCTGGAATGCCCTCAAAATGTGATCCTCCTGATCTCAGTTCCCACAAGTAGCTAGGATTTAAACACAGGAACCATCACACCATGCTAAGCATTTAATTTGGAAATGATAACTCAGATAATCACTATGTGCAGATTAGGTGGGAAAAAGAAGAAAAATGTGATTGAAAATGTTTCTCTCCTGCACTTGAGGAGTATATTGAACTGTTTACCACCTAGCAGCTGGGCCTGTAAACAGAGGCTTTCTCTGGAACAGCATTCTCCCTTGTAACACTTTTTCCTAGCATCCCTTTCACAGATGCTGATGCCTAAACACTTTCCACTAAAACTTTGCAAGCAATGTTCATTTCAGAGTTGGTTTCTGGAGTAACTCAGCCTGTAACATTAGTGTAGGTAGTGGCATGTACAGTTCTAGATCCATGCCCTTTCATCACATCTGGTTCCTCTGATTGCTCTATTCTGTTCCAGTATGCAGGGAGGAGAAGGACAGCTCAGTGTACGTTCTGCCACTTCAATGGATCCTAGAAAGGAGCCACATGATGTGGTCTAACTAGAGAGATCTTATGGACAGATTTGGAAAAGCCAGATTAAAGTATAAGCTATAACATTTTCTTGATATAATGTCTGTTTATTCTTGCCTCCAAATTTGTTAGTCCCTACAGAAATAACCTTTCCCCTAGGAAAGAAAAATTAGAATCTCAATTATCTTATCTAAATGACAGACAGTTTTAAAATACCAAAAAAAGCAGGGAAACAAACAAACAAAACACAAAAGAAAGTTTACGTTTTATTTTCTAAATCATGGAGTGCTCCAAAAGATCTAATTTAATTCTCTCTGTGTGTAGTCATGTATTGGGAAAATATTTATTAAAGGTATCTTTTCACTTTCCATCATTCATTTAACTAGACTGAAAATCTAATTTGAATTCGAGTAAACATAATAAAGGTATTAAAGGATATGTTTCACTGAATTTGTTTTGTAAAAGGTTTTGTACATTTTCAGTTAATTCCATATTGCATGTCTGAGGTAAATGATGATAATGGAATGATGTCTACTCTTTCAATAAACCCAGCTTGGTTTGTACAAAAAGTACACAGATACATATCCTAAATTTTGCTTACTTAAATAAAATACTTACACACATTAAAAAAAATAATTTCCCAAGGGGGGGGTGGCATGGAATTGACAAGCAGACACTCATTACTTAATTACATGTTGTGGATTGTCTGAACTGTAACAACTACAACCCATCAGTCCCAAGCATGGCTTCTTCCACTGGAATTTGGATCTTTGCCAAGGGAAATTGAACCAAGGCAAACTAAGTGGGTCTAAAAACCCCTAAAATATTATACTTGACACTGACTGGCTACTATGGAGTACCTTTTAGCACTGGGGTGATTTATATCAACTGAAATGGTGGATATCTTCCAAAAACACTAACTGTTAAATTTGCATACTTGACTCCTGTATGAGTAACCAAGTTAAGAGAATATAAAGAAATCTCAGTTACATAGAAAATCAAATTGTGTTATGTTATCAAGTAAGTTTATATATAAAACATAGATCGATATTTCATGAACATTTACTTCATTAAATAGTAGCACATTTTAAGTATGGCTTATAGCCAAAAAGAGATTTGTTTAAAGTAGTCAGTCACAGAAGGAAGTTAATGTTATCGAACTTATTTTCAACAATGATCTAATACACACAACTCAGATAAACTTTTTCTTCCAATCCTAGAAGGTAAAGAAGAGGAACAAGAACAAATTCTCTTAAAAGTGTAAATTGCTTTGTACAATTATACCAAAATGGAGATACATTTGGAAAAATCATTTTAACAAACACAATTCCTTAAAATATAAAAGTTAAAAATAACTATTTTCTTTAGCTTCTTTTGTAAAACATTTTAACTTCTACTAAGATATTTACTCACAATTGATGTTTGATACTACTAGTTGGCACTCCTAAGAATATGAGTATATTTTAGAGAAATTCTGGAAGGAGAAATACAATTTAAAAACATAGAAAATTGAGTTACAGTGTCAGTAAAGATAATATTTTCAGTTTTTAACCAATATTTAATTAATTTTACCTTACTCTAAATAATTTAGAAGCTGTCTTTAATTTTTGAAGATAATTTCTAAATACTTTAAGTAATCTCAGGTTCACAAAGAACAACTGTTTCTTTGTATTCTGGAAGTAGAGATAATATAAGCACATGCATATCTACTTGAATTTAACTTTTTTCTTTAAATCCGTGCATTCCAAAAATAACTCCCATCTCTTGGTATATGTATGAAAAAACTACTTAAAATTAAATGATTAGCAATTAAAGATCTGTCTTAATTCAAAGATTAACTGGGCAGTATTAACACATGAAGACACAAATATTTCTATGAAGATTCAAATCCTGAGAAAAAGCAACTTTCAGATAACCAAGCAACGGGTGTTTAGGCCTGGATGTATTTCATAATTAGAGAGTTAAGTGAAAGTGATGATTGTAGATGGATTCTCTGAGTTCCTAGGAGGACTCTTTTTAAACAGGAAGAACTCAACATTGGGAACTCTTGACCTAAACCTTAGAATGTCCCTTAGTGTTTCTTTTTCAATGTTTCTGTAAGAGGAGATAAATAAACAAAAATAGCAGATGCTTCATAGATGCAGAATAGGTCATATATGATGTCATTTCATGAGTTATCTAATCCCTTCCAGTTTTGCTGTCTCTTTGAGCAGACATTGATTTTTACTGAAACTAATGATAACTGATAATGCCTAATGGGTGGTCCCGTTCCTTCGATTTTCATACTGCTGGTCAAAAACAGGAAATGGTAGTAATTGCTTTTAGGACTTTGAATATAACACTTAGAATTTTTAAAATTTAATTTAAACCTGTTTTAAATTGACACATAAAAGCATTATAGCTGTACAGTTGTTTCTTTTATTATACTAAAATAAGGATTTTTTAAAAACCTGGCTTCCTAATCTTTTGTGAAGGTAATTTGGTTCATGGATAGCTCTTCAAATTGGTATGTCTGTGGGGTGATCGTTGCTGAAGGACTATACTCAGCCTTCATCTTTTGTGACCTCTCTATATTTATTATCACTTCTTTATAAATTATACTTATATTTATTTATAAATGATTATTTATATATTTATTTTTAAATTTTGCCAGTTGTGGGGTTTAAAGTTGCCTAGTCAATTTTTTTATATTTAATTTAATTTTATTTTATTTCTGAACATACTGTACAGAGGGGTTACAATTACATGGGCAGGATAATGTGTACATTTCTTACTGCCTAGTCAATTTTTTGATCATGGTTGGCACTCTTAATAATTGAGCCATGCCTCTAGTCTGGCTTTTGCTGACTTATTATTGTGGACTTTTGCAACTTTTCTCTGTTTGGGTTAGTTTTTCATTGTGATTCTTTCATTTCCACCTCCAAATTAGCTAGGATTACAGATATAAACCACTGGTGCTCAATTTATATTTCAACATTAAAACTGTTCCTAATGAAAACATAGTAGGGGAATATATGTTTCACTAACCCCCAAATCACTGGACTTTAGAAGAAACTTGTTCAGATATGAAATGAAAATGTGAACCAAAGATATGCTTTTCCAATGCTATTACAACTCACAACCATAGTACACAGGTCAATAATGCTTATTTGTTCATTAAAAATTACTGAAAATTTAACTTTATATTGCTGAAATATTTACTTATTCTTGAAAAATAATTCACTTTGCATTTCTTCAATAGAAATATTTGCATTTTTATTCATTAAATACATAGTTGATGCTTTTTATTTATATTTTCAAAGGTTGTTTTAGTATTGTACTCATTGATTCAATAGAGCTTTCATATATACTCAAATTCATGAAAAGTTAAAATGTGTCATCTAGGCAGTAATTATTTCTGACACAGAAAATCGAGTGGCTTTTGATAGAGTCACCCCACACCAAGAGAATACATAAAATTAAATAGCTTTAGTTGTTGATATATATTTAAGTACACTGACCTTTTTAAAATTTTTGTTTATGTCAACCAGACTGAGCAGAAAGATGTGGTCCTTGGCTCCTAGAAGAAGCCTGCCCCTCTCCTCATCTAATAGAAGAGTTTGGAAATCCAGTCCTTCTGGTGAACCCAAAAACGGAATACAGCTATTTGAAAGCAGCAAGTCTATGGCAAAATAAAAGAAGGAAAGAAAAAACAAATCATTATACAAAAAATTTACTTGCTTCAATTTGTAAATTATCCCACTTTATAAAAGTTGATTAGAATTGCAATTTAGATAAATTCAGACAACTAGGGCATTATATATACTCATTAAGAAATAAGTAATACATTTCAATTGTATTTTATTAATACTAGTTTATGTGTAAAATATGATTCTGAAATGAATATAAAATGTGTAAATACAAAAGTAAAATTCAAAGTACCTCCAAACAATGTCTTTATTCTTATAATTTGAAGAATCTAACTAATAATATTTGAACACTGACAAAGTAATGAATACTGTAATAGAAAGTTTCAAACTGTCACAAATGTCACAGCATTCTTCTCTTTTCCTTTTGGTATGTTTTTTTATTTTAAAAATGCTGTACAGAGGGGTTACAGTTATATGACAAAGGTAATGAGTACATTTCCTATTGAACATTTTGCCTCCTCCTTTAGTTTTCCCCCTACCATCCCTTCCCTCCCACCTCCACAACAACTGCCCCACCCTCCCCCTCCCCCCACCCAGTGAAGTTGTAAAGTTCATTTTCAACATAGTGTTTTGTACATCCCGTTGTTACAATGGGTGAACCTGAATCCTTATTTAAGCGTTTTGTTTTGTTTTTCCTTCCCCTCCCCAAATTAGAGAAGTGTATATACAAGATGCAGGGCACTTCTTATACCATGAGGGAAGAACATACAAAGAAACAAAAAAAAAATCACATGGTACATTATAAATACATTAGAAACAATAGCAAGAAAGAAAAAAAGATATTTGTGTCCCTATCTTGGGGTTCATTTCACTTAACATCATCTTATATAGTCATATGTACATAGTCTTTGGCCTTTTCCGCTTGTCCTATACATGTACTAGTTATTGCAAATAAGGGAAACAAGGGACCTATGTTTCTTTGGGTCTGGCTTACTTCACTTAATATAATTTTTCCAAGTTTTTCCATTTCCTAACAAAGGGGATAATGTCATTCTTTCTGATGGAGGCATAGAATTCCATTGTGTATATATACCACATTTTCTTGATCCATTCATCTACTGAGGGGCATCTGGGTTGGTTCCATATCTTAGCTATGGTAAATAATGCTGCGATAAACATAGGCTGGTAGCCTTAGTATGGCCTTGTTTGTGATCTTTTGGGTAAATGCCTAAAAGTGGGATTGCTGGATAATAGGGGAACTCTATGTGGATTGTTTGGAGGAACCTCTATAGTGCTTTCCAAACTGGTTGAACAAGTTTACATTCCCACCAACAATGCAGTAGGGTTCCCTTCTGGCCACATCCCCTCCAGCATCTGTTGCTATTAGAGCTCTTGATTATAGCCATTCTAACTGGGATGAGGTAGTATCTCAATGTTGTTTTGATTTGCATTTCTTTTATGGCTAGAGAGGTTGAGCATTTCTTCATGTGTCTATTGGCCATCCTTCTTTCCTCTTCAGAGAAGTTTCCCTGTAAGTCTTTAGCCCACTTATTTATTGGGCAGTTGTTTCTTTGAGGATTTGTTGTTGGGGTATTTAATTTTTTGAGTTCCAGATATATTTTTGATATGAGACCCTTATCTGTTGTATGGCTAGTGAAGATCTCCCAATCCGTGGGCTTTGTATTGATCTTGCTAGCTATGTCCTTTGCCATGCAGAAGTTCTGCAGCTTCATAAAATATCATTTGTCTAACCTTTCTTTGATTTGTTGTGTTTCCGGGTCTCTATTGAGAAAATTTCGGCCTGAGCCAAGGAGACCTAGGGTTTCTTCTATTCCTTCCTGTAATGTTTTCAAGGTGTCTGCTTTGACTCCAAGGTCTTTGATCCATTTGGAGTTGATTCTGGTGCAGGGTGATATATAAGGATCTAGCTTTAGTTTGCTAAAGGTGAATAACCAATTTTGCCAGCACCATCTACTGAAGAAGCTGTCTTTCTTTCAGTCTATTTTTTTAGTTTCCTTATCAAAGATTAGATGCCTATAGGTCTGTGGGTTCATTTCTGAGTTTTCAGTTCTATTCCATTGGTCCTCAGGTCTGTTCTTGTGCCACTACTAAGCTGTTTTGATTACTATGGCTGTTTAGTAGAGTTTGAAATTTGGTATTGATATTCTTCAAGCACTGTTCTTTCTGTTAAGGATTGCTTTTGCAATTTGGGGCCTTTTTTTGTTCCATATGAATTTTTGGATTGCTTCTTCTATTTCATTGAAGAATGAGGTTGGAATATTGATAGACATCACATTAAATTTGTAGATAGCCTTTGGAAGTATTGCCATTTTCACAATGTTGATCCTTCCAATCCAGAAGCATGGGAGTTTTTTCCACTTCCTAAATTCTGCTTTGATTTCCTTTTTTAGGTTTTTAAAGTTTTCATTGTAGAGGTCCTACACTTGTTTAGTTAATTCCATTTTTATTTAAAAATTATTTTACTTTTTTATTTTACTTTTTAGAAAGGTTTTAGATTAACAGTCATACTGAGAAAAAAATATTGACATGCATAGACTCTCTGCCCCAACACTTGCATAGCTTTCCCTATTATCAAGAGCATCCCACCAAACATGGTGTAATTGTTATACTCAATAAACCCACAATAGCACAGCAATACCATTCAAAGTCCACAGTGCTTTTAGAGTTTATTCTTCATGTTTGATATTTTATGCATTGGATAAAGTTTTAATGACAGTATCACTATATAATACAAAATCACTCATTTCCTTAAAGATCCTTTATGATCTCACTCTTAATTTATCTTACCTTTTCAAGTCACTGACATTCATTTATCCTTTTTGACTGTGCATAGTTTTGCCATGTTAGGATGTTGTATAGTTGGAATCATATAGTATCTAGACTTTTCATTCTTGCTTCTTTCATCAGCAATATGTATTTAAGTTCAATTTATGTTTTCGTGTTCAATAGTTAAGTTCTTTTTATTTTATTTTGTTTATTTTATTATCATTCTTTTCTGTATGACAGTCCTGGGTGCTGTCTCTGAGCTTTGTTGTTCATGGCTAATGCTCTACCACGTGAACCAAAGTTCTACTTTTAGCTTTTGGGTGGTTTCATTGAAGACAGTTCACAGACTTTCCTCCGTGGGCTAGATTCAAACTGTGATTCTCAGATCTCAACCTCCTAAGTAGTTACTGGTGTGATCCAATGGTGCCCAAATGTTCACTTTTTATTTAATTAGTTTTTTATTGTGGAAATAAGTTTTGGCAATGATGAGTGAATGCACTGTAAACATATTAGTATTGTTTATTTATTTATTTATTTTGTTAGTTCATATATTTAGGTAGTCTGTTTATTTTGTGCTGGTTTAGGCACTGGCTCTACCACTTTAGCCACACTTTTAGTCTGGCACTTTTGCAGGCTGTTTGGCAATAGTCAGTTTCAGACATTTTTGTCGGTGCTGGTCTCAAACCATGATCTTCAAATCTCAGCCCTCTCAGTAGATAGGATTATAGGTATGAGCTACCTGCCCCTTGTCACATGTAGGTTTTTATGCATATAAATTTTTGTAAGAAGCCATGAACTGTGTTCCTAAATGTCTGTGCCATTTTGCATTTCTAAAAGCCATTAACAAGTGATCCTGTTGTGCTGTACCTCTTTTGAATTTAGTATTATCAGTAGTTCAGGTTTTGGTCATTCTAATACATATGTACTGGTACCATAAGTTGTATTTCCTGAAGACTGATTGTATGGAGTATCTTCTCATATGCTTATTTGCTATTTGCATCTTTTCTTTTGTGAAGTCATGTGAAAGGTCTTCAGCCTATTTTTTATTTGTTTTCTTATTGCTTACTTTTTTCCCCTTTGTTACTCTGTATTTTTTTAATTGTGAAAATACCGTACAGAGGGGTTACAATTACATGAGCAAGGTACTGAGTACATTTCTTATCAAGCATTGTTGCCTCCTCCTTTGTTTCTCCTTACCATTCCTGACCTCCAATCTCCCTCCCCTCCCCCGCCAAAGTTGTAAAGTTCTTTTTTTGACATAACGTCTTGTACATCTCATTGTTGCAATGGGTCCACCTGTAACCCTATTTAAACAATTTGTTATTTCCCTTCCCCTCAAACCCTAATACAATAAAGAGGCTATTACACATCACAAGAATTTAAAACATTATATAAAATAACTATTAATTGTTGAAGTAAAAGGAGATGCCCTCAGGATAGACATAAAAGTATTTCTAAATCTATGCAAAGTTCAGTTTCTGCAAAATACGCTTTTCAGTTCCTTACTAGACTATAGATTAGCTCTACCAAATGTAGATTTACAATTCTTTCATATTTTCTTATTGTCTTTACATGTTCTCTGGTTATCAAAGAATAAGTCTTATTTTTCACAGTTTGGGAACTAGAAACTATGTCTCAGTTTTGACAAACTGAAAGGCAGTATGCTGAAAATGTTGATATTCCTGCTATCTCTAATTAAGTGTTTTTTTTTAATCTGTGTATGTGTGTATGTGTATGTGTGTATCACGGGCTATGTACACTGGATGGAACAATGAACTCTAGACTAACTTTCTATTAAGCTAAATATGTCTTTAATAATTTTTAGAGTATAGACATGTCAATATACTTTTGATCAGATCTAAATGTAGTAATCTTATTTTTTCAGGGATAATACTCAACAAACATTCCATACTGGTTGTTAGTAGAACTGAGTAAAAAGAATGGAGCCAAGGGAACAGCTGCAGTAGGTATGATTAAGATTTCAGTAAGAGGATATGTTTCACGCAAATCGTCATTGAATACAGTAACTCTGTATCTTCAATGGGATTTAAAAAAAATTTAACCAAGATAGAAATGGGAAAAAATGAAAGCATCAGAGGATTTCAGGAGTAATTTTCATCAAACCGAAAAAGGAAAGTAGTTTATATGACATAAATCCTTATTATTATAAGTGTCTGAGGATGTTAATTATATATATTTCAGTATAAATTCCAAATGATTTATTACTTAGCATAATAGGTAAGAG